GAAAAAGCAGTAGGGGCTGACATGCTCTTTTGTTTGAACTTTAGGGACCTAAGTGTCCCTATGTAATGAAGTATTGTTTATAAATCATCCATTTTATGTAGTTGAGGGATTAAAGTGTCCCAACTTATTGAACTACTTTTGTCAATGGATGATGGATGATACACCTGTAAACATTTGTAACATCATCCACTGTTTGACACAATAAATGCAATTGAAAATGGACTGAATTTGATCATTTAAGAAGAAGACATGTTTAGCCTTACACCAAAAGACCAGAAGTTTCACAAATTTACAAAACAACAGTTGGAATTTCTTGGCATTAACAACATCATTTGCCATTTACAAAACATCAGCTCCCTACAAAGCAACAGAAATTCACAAAACCCAGCTAAACATGGAGCTGCACATTGGCATTTACAAAACACAACTATTTTGGAGGCTGATTTAAATTTCCTAACTTTGCAGCTTCATTTGCATTCCCATGGAGCTGCACATTGGCAATGGTAGTTGAATGATTTACGTGACCTGCTGCTGCCTACAATGTAGACAAATTTACACACATGTTTCCCCTCCAAGTGAAGGGGGTTGGTTGAAGTCGTCCGGTGACATGGCTAGTTGAACCAAGCTCTTCTGTCTGCCTATCATCAATGTATGAGTCTGGTGGTTTCATTGTTATCCCTGGACTGTGTGAATAAAATTTGGCACCAGTATTGAAGTTCAACTACATGTCACGAGATAAGAAGTAGTTAATAGGATAGTGAACATTTTCACATCTCACACAGTATAAAAACTGAAATTTCGAAGCACTTACATGTCCAGATTCAGTATTGTGTGGAGCTGTCTCATATGGGTTGATCAGAGAATCTGTTGCAGCTCTGTTGAGTCCAAGTTCTCCAGTCATGTCCAGTGAGTTTCTAAAGGTCCATTGCCTCAGCTTGCAACCTTTCTTTGAATGGCCAGGTTTCCTGCAAAATGAGCATTTTCTTTTGCCCTTGACTGGTTGTTCTCCACCAATTTTCTGTTGAGTCTGACCTTGAGGAGCAGCTGTGCAGCTCTCTTGTGTACTTAAGTGAGTCACATTAGAAGTAGTTGGACCAGTACTGGTATGCCTTGTTTCATTTCTGATGGCATCTGTTTGTTGTGTGCTGGTCCCACTAGCTTCCTTATCCATATGGCCATCTCCTCCCTTTTCTACTGGAGCAGTTTGCTGATTTTTTTTCGGGCAGCTCCTCCTATTATGGTCATATTTCTTGCACAGACTACAGCTCATCTTAGTGCCAACCTTGCTAACTTTGTGAGGTTTAGATGGATTCACACATGACTGGCTGTTCCTATCTTCATCTGGTCCCTTTTTCCTCGCCTTTTTTGGCCTTGCAGGTGATTTCCCATATTTTGGAGGCTTCATTGGTGGTAAATCTACTGGGGCCCACACATTAGGTCCATTGATTGGATTCAACACAGGTTCATAACTCTTCATGTATGTAGTCTTCCAGTAGATAGGTGCCACATTTTTTTCTGGCTTGTCACGTCTCCTATAAATAGCAGCCACTGCATGGCCACATGGGATTCCCCTCAGTTGCCATTTTCTACAAGTGTAGGTCTTGCTCCTCAAATCAACGACAAACTGGTCACTAAAAGGACAGCATATCTGATACTTCATTGTGCCAGCGTAATAGCAGATGCACATGCATTGCTCTTTCTTGGCCTTCCCAAGAATGTCAAAAATTGCTGGACATAAGAGACCTGACAAATAAAAGGGCAAATTAGATATTGAACATAGGGTAACTAGAAAGAAGTGCTGATAAAAAACAGTAAGCAAGTAGCTTAACCTTCATACTTGGACATTGTCTCTCTATTCTTCTCCATTCTCTTCAATAAATATAAGTAAATAGTTTGCAACATGCCTATGATAGGCAGTGATCGTGCCTTTAAAATAACTGAATTAAAAGATTCACACATGTTATTAACCAATATATCGCAATCCAATCCAGTCTTGAAATGAGCCATTGACCAAGTATTGGGGTCCTTTTCATCCAACCATGCATATGCATCTAATGATTCTTGCTTCATCATCTCCATTTCTGCTTTGAAATGAGTCATATATGAAGCCCTTGCACATCGCCAAAGCCTATCTTTAAGAGCAAGACCTCTATGCATTTGCTTGAAGTTAGTGTAAAGGTGTTGGACACAACATCTATGTTCAGCTTGTGGAAGTTTGTCCCTAACAGCCTGAAGTAGTCCCTGTGCAACACTGCATAACAATCACATATGTCACATTAATATCAATAGTATAACATAAATAGTTAATGGATAATAAATTTATTAATTTGTATTAATAAATACTACCTTCTGTTTGTCAGTCATAATGCACCAGCAACTAGAGTCTTCAATTTTTAAATCTTGTACAAGCAATCCTAAAAACCAACTCCAATTATCATAATTCTCTGCCCCAACAACTGACATTGCCAAGGGAAACATTTTGTTATCACCGTCCATTCCAACTGCTGACAAAAGCTGCCCACCATATGGACCTTTTAGGAAGCAACCATCTAACCCAATCCACTTTCTACAACCAGCTAAAAAACCTCTCTTTATTGGTTCTAAGCACATATACAGCCTTCTAAACCTAGAAACACCATCTTCATCTACATCAGTCTCAACAAACACAGTAGATCTCGGATTTGCCCTCCTCAATTCACCACAAAATGATTCCAACATGGTGTACTGTTTGTCATGGGACCCCTGAATAGTGTCTCTAACTTTTCTAAGTGTTCTATATCCTTGCTTAAGGCTGAAATCAACATTTAACTCCTCAGTTACTTTGGTCATCAACTCATGCACTGTCATAGATGGCGTTTTCCTTACCTCATCAACAAATAGTTTGCTAGCCAACCTAGATGTCATGTTTTTATTGTGGAACACTCTTCCACAAGTGTGCTCATCACTAAGTGTTTTATCTGAAAAGTATTTTCATCTTGCATTTTAGATCCAAATAGCTGCCAGTCACAACTTCTGCATTTCACTCTCACCCTCCGTGTATCATTTTTCTTGAAATACACATCTCTCCCATCCATAATTGCTTGGATTCTTACAGCCAACCTGAATATAATGACTGATGTGAACTTCTGACCAACTTCAAACTTTGATTTCTTCATGTCTGTTTGCTCATTAAAAACTGGAAATTTAGGCCTCCTTGTCTTACTATTCCCATCTTCATCGGATTCACTTTGACTCTTCAATTCAAATGAATCATCCGAGTCATATTCTGATTCAAAGTCATCAATGTTAATCATAGCCGGGTCATCACAGTAGTTAATTTCAATAGGTGGGTCTCTCTTCCTTCCTGCCTTCTTCTTTCTTTGCTCACAGCAATGAGAAGGACCAGGTTTATTGCAATGCGAAGGGCCAGCTGAATGTGCACCTAGGTCTCCTCCAAATGTTTGACCAATTTTGATGGCTTCATCTAATATGTCATTGTCTCCCCCTTGATCCTCATAGTCTGAATCTGCAATCTTCTCATTAACATTGACTCCATTTTCTTCCTCTTCTTGTCTGGCAGCATCACATTCTGTTTCCCCTACACCACCTTCATTGCTGGCTGTGTTTTGTGCATTTTTATTACAATTTTTACTTTGGTCATCTTCTTCTCTGACTTGTGCATTTGAAGCTTCAACACAGCCTTCAACATCTTTTTGTTCCTTTGCAGCATCACTCCTATTATCAGCTTTCTTTTCTACCAAATTTTCAGTTTCAGTCGCTTTGCTATTCACGTCTTCATATTCTGCTTCATCTTCAGCAGCAACACTATAAAATTCCTCACTTTCTGGTTCAACATCAGCACCTTTTGAGTGCTTGTCTACAGTTTCTGGTGCTACTTCAATACTTTCTGGTTCAACGTCAAGACCTTTTGCTTGCTTGTCTGCAGTTTCTGGTTCTACTTCTGGCCCAGCACTACAGGGTGCTGCAGCCTGTGAACAACCTTGTGACAAAACTCCAAGAAACACTTCTGCCACCCTATGTGGTGGTAATGTGTTCACCATCATCTCACAATCCCTATCACACATACAAAAGACCAAGCCTGTATCCAATGTCATCCCTGGTAGCAGATAATACCACCCAAAACGATCTTCTGCATCATACCCAAGACGGACTCCACATTTGTCTAGAGCTACTAATGACCACATTTCTGGGTTGCATCTATCTATAAAATCAACCCGTCCCCCTATATACTGTTTGTTAGGAGAGTCTGTGAAGGTCCCTTGATGATGTATCTTTAAGGAGAAAGGTTCAGGCCAAGTTCCACTATCACCATTTCCTGGTTCAAAGAAAAAAAATTTTAATTCAATAATTAATTTTTTTTACACCTTTTGCAGTGGATAGGGGACCACAATAATGTCTGAAATACAGGGAACAGCATAAACATTCGACATTAAACAATTTTGTCTTAACATTGCCTTAAAAAATACCCCAAATTATCAAATTGCCCATACAGGGAACATCATTAATTTTTTTTACACCTTTTGCAGTGGATCGGGGACCACAATAATGTCTGAAATACAGGGAACAACATAAACATTCGACATTAAACAATTTTGTTCAAACATTACGGTTTGAACAGCATAAACATTGCCTTAAAAAATACCCCAAATTATCAAATTGCCCATACATTCGACATTAAACAATTTTGTATACCATATTTTATCACAAACAGGGTATAACATACAGAGGTCAATCTGGCCCTTTTTACATTACACAATATCACTACAAAACCTAACCGACAACACAGCGCAATAACCCAACTACTATATACGCTATTATCCAACAAGCAAATAATGACATTTTAATATCATTTCTCTTATCGGGAGTGGGAGTGGGAGTGGGAGTGGGCTTTCTCTTCTTGTTCTTCAATGGCGACCTCATTTCTCCATCAGCCCTCTTGAATGTCGATCTAGACTTTCCCATTTTACAATGCTAGTCACCTCTAACTCACAGTCACAAGAATGTCAAAGGTATAGATTAGCACAAATCTGCTAACTTCGTTCACACCGTCCCTCTCTCTCTCTCACTCTCTCTATCTGTTCAAATCCACGGTGAAGACTGAAGACGACAGAAACAAAGCTGCTTCCCTCAATTTTCTTTTCCCCTTATACCTAACGGGCGAAATTACAATTATGTCCTGGCTATTTCAGTTTTCATGGCTTGCTTAGTCTGACTAACGGCGCTTGTTTTGCACGCTCGGAAAACACTGACGATTCTGTCGAGTCCGTCAGTGGTTATGCTTAATTGGGACGGATTCAGTAGTTTGGGAACTTAAGTGTCCCATTTAGAAGTTTAGGGATTTAAGTGGGAATCAGGGTATAGTTTAGGGGGTCAAAAGGGAATTTACCCTAATATTACGCCAAGTGTCATGTTATTATTTACACTTGTGTTAAACCAAACCAAGTTGAATTATTAGAAAATTAAAATGTAAATAATAACAAGACACTTGGTGCAATACTATAGGTGACATTGGGTTGGTATAGAAAACATGTCACCGAAAATTTCAAGTGCTTTACAATAACTTGGATCCTCGGTGTCATGTTTTTTATGTCAATTCAACGCCACCTATAATATTACACCAAGTATCATATTATTATTTACACTTGTGTTAAACCAAACCAAGTTGAATTATTAGAAAATTAAAGTGTAAATAATAACAAGAAACTTGGTGCAATACTATAGGTGGCATTGGGTTGGTATAGAAAACATGTCACCGAGAATCCCAAGTGCTTTACAATGCCACTCGTGAAACTTGCATGCACTGCATTGGAAAGAGTTCCACTTACTCGACCCAAGATCACTGAGAAATTTATGAAGAAATTCCACCAGGATTTGGTCTCCTGTCGAGCTCCAGCGGACAATGATCTTACCAAGTACCAAGGGTGGTGTTTTCAGTAGGTGCCTTCTTTTCTTATCCCTCTTTATGTGTGAATTTCTGAGTGCACATCCCTTGTTGTCTTGCCTTTGCCGGATTCACCTAACAGGGTGAAATTTGTTGATTACTAACTTATATTTCATGAGTAGCTTTTATTCTTCAATCACTCCTTTTCAACCTCTTCCTGGTCGACATAAATGCAATTGCCAAACCATTCCTCTGTCTGCTCATCTTCTGCCTCCCAAGAACAAGAAGCAAGGCAAGGATATGACTCATAAGGCAACATAAGTACCAACAACAGTATCACTGTAATGCAATAAACAGTCATACTCAAGATTCTACTGACTTTTTTTGACCTCGACATTTGAATTTGTTTTACTCAATCATTACCTTTCAGCCTCTCTTAACACTAGTTGGCACTTGAACACATAGACCTGTTCTGTTTTGAGTCAGGACGCCATTACGTACATGATGCTTCATAATGGTCTATGGGAAAGTGCTTTGTCAAAGCAAGTGAAAAGCTTTTATGTTTGTTTTTAGCCTTGGATTCTCATCCTCAGACAATTGCAAAATGTTTCTGACGGCCAATTTTCACTATATAAATAAAGGAAGATTTATGGCATGGAATTGTCTGCTACATATTAGTAATGTGATGGATTAGCTGTTCAGGAAAAAGTTATCATTAGAAATTTCTTGAAAGTTTACCATGATTTGCTGCTTATAATACACGTAAGAAGCTATGTCTGAACATGAGGACGAATGGTTATTGCTTGAATCAAGTAAATGCCCTGTATATTCTCCCTTGTTTTGAGCAAACGGTAAATGTCACCATTTCATGCATTTAGTTCTGATGAGGTGTCTTCCTCTCGGCGGTGAAAACTATTTTCTTAATTGTTCACCTAATTTGTAGAACGTCAAGTTGAGAAGATCGACCCGTTGTTTAAATGGTTGGAATCGAAGTTTGGGTATAAACCTGTTGTATATTCCGGTTTCCTTGGTGGTAAGCAGGAAGAAGCTCTGGTAACAGCCATTGAAGGCCTGCTCAAAAGGAGATTGCGAACTAGTTGCTATTGATGCAATTGCTGCAGCTGGTGCTCATTCTTTAGTTATAACCATTGGAATCTTTCGTGGTAGATTGAATACTGAGGAGGCCATTGAGCTTATTAGACTAAGAGAAGATTTACAGGTTCTAGTTTATGTTGTTTCTTTTATCCTCTTGCTCCTCTGTTGCTTTATGGTGCTTTTGCAGGTAGACAACTGGGGTCTGGTTGACGGTGGACATGACGTTGATATTGCAGATCTTAAAGTTCAAGTTGCATCTGCTGCTGTCTTGGAGTTTCTACAAGGAAATGACTTCTGTATGCTTTTCTCTTATAAGCGTATAGCTTTTTTTCTATTACTTCTGCTTTTCATGTGTTGTTTCACCAATCTGCTGTTCTTTTTAGCATCTGACTGGACGAAATTAGTAAGATAGCACAAACCTTAGATCTGAATGTATTGAAATGCTTCTTTGACTGGAATGTATGCACGCTTGGAGAAGTTGAATTGATTTAAATGTTGATATTCGTTCTGTTCCTTTTGCGTGTTTGCACAACATAAATGTTGGATTTCAAAAAGATATCCTGCTGAATAGCTTGAGTTCCTAACTTTATTATTTGTGCATTTCCAGTTTTGCCTGTCAGAGTACAAGCATATTTACAATAAGCTTTCCTCATTCTGCACCTGGTTACTTTAAAACGTAATAAGATGATAGGTGGTAGATGACTGTGTAACTTTCATGCAGGATTAATAAAATTTAACAGCATAAATGATTTATACAAAAACAAGGTCAAGTAATCTGCAAGTATTTTCTTTGTTCCAGGACAGACATGCTACTCTTGCCCTCTGCCATTCGCTTCCCCAAATAGAAAGAGGATAATAGGAGACAGTTTGGGGGTGGGCGCGGCCAGGGGGGGGGGGGGGGGGGGGGGTTCAAGAACTTTGTTCCACAGGATCATCTGATTTCCTGAAGCATGGTACTTTTGCGCAATAAGATACACTAGTAGTATTAAGTTTGAGACAATTAGAACATATTACATCATGATATGAGAAGTTAAGGCCCTTCTTTTCAATAACAACAGGCTATTCAATGACCTCGCAATAACAACAGGCTATGTCGCACAGTCACAGTTATTGTTGCATCCTAGTGAACAGAATGATAGACATATTGTTGGTCCTTTTTTCCTTTAACAGAATTAAGACCTAAAGAGTGAAATAGTTAGAGTTCCATTACCTGTTGCGGTAACGCATGGAGGTGATTCTAGAATTTGAGGATTTTGGAGAAACCTACGCCCATGGCTTGCTTAGACTGCAAAAGTCAGTGCCTCAGTAAAGACTAAAGACCATTAAAACCAGAAAAGTAAGTAATACCCACTGCAACATTGTTTTAGCAGGAAAAACTAGTGTGCCTTTGAGGTTGGTTGGTTGGTTGGTCTTCCAGAGTTTCTGCTCAATAGAGTTCTCTTATATACGATCCTCTGCAGGTTTTCAGGAGTTCAGGAGACCTAATGCAATTGATGTGACTCCAATAAACTATGAACTTGTGTTTTAAAATATTCTGCCCTTGTTATGTTGGGGATCACACAGCAAGTATGTAGACATAAAAGTCTTCATCTGTCAATTTTTTTGTCTCCGCTCGCTGTCGTAGTAAAATAGGCCATATTTGATCGCCTGAAAACAAATATATTTATCCTGTCGTGCGTTAAACCAGTGCGGTGTGCATTGCAGAAAATTCTTGCTACAGTTTACTAGTTGCAGAACTGGTTGCTTGGAGATCACCTCGTTGATTGGTTTGGTTTTAGGAAATGTAAGCAATGTGTGCATCAACCAATTGAACCCTACGTTACTAATCTGACCATGGTACATCAACTAATGAGTAGATCAATCATTAACTCCGAGACCTAAAAGCCAACACAGCTGCTGTAATTTCTACAGAAGTACCTCAACGAGCTAACAAGTTATAATTTCTTCTACGTATAGACAAGAATGCTTCCCAGAAAATCAAACTAGCACTATTATGTAAGCATTGCTAAATAACCTGAAAATGTAGGAATATATGCGGAAAAACTGAAATCATAAGATTGCCTAATTCTAAGTCTAGCACTAAATTCGTTAGGAAAAAGATAATAGAATAGTACTACCAGCTTGATTTGCTGCGACAGAGTAATGACTGATGATGACAGGAGTAATAGATGATCATGCTCAAAGTAAAGCGTTTTTGCTTCATCACCGGAGTTGCAAGCCAAAATATCAACAGAGAAGCAAAAAGTGTATTGGAAAAGAAAATGACAGAAAACATACTGGTTTAACATGAGATACAGTGGTTCCACAAAAAAAATTTTATTTGAAACAAAGATCTTCCTATGTTTGAAGTACAATGCACATCTAATTGAATTGGCAGATTACAAACACTGCACATCGAATTATTTCTCAAACAACTTCTGCTGAGTCCCTCAAAATAATCTCAGGAGAGATCAGCACAGATATACTATGTTTTCTACATTTCAAGAACCAAGAAGCTCAAGTTTCTTGATGTTTTGAATTTGCTTCCCAGGATTCAGTCCCTTTGGGCAGGCCCTGGCACAATTCAAAATTGTATGGCATCGATAAAGCTTGAACTCATCGTTCACTGCATCCAGACGTTCTTTGGTGTATTCGTCTCGACTGTCCATTATCCAACTGCATTTGAAAAGAAACAAAAACAGTAGGTAGATTGCTTAGCAATCTAGGCCAGAAAACATGTGCAAGGGACATGTATTTAAAATAAATTTCACAAGGAACAGAGAATGAACTTGGCCAGAACACAATTTGTCCTGAAGGGGTGCATAAAGTCAAACAATTTAGTCACACAGCTAAACTGGTGGATTAGAGTTAAAGTAAATCAATCACAAAACAGTGACACTGGATGGATTCAGACATACCGGGAAGCATGTAACCAACAGACCAGCCTAGATAACAGATCCAAACAACTGGGTATAAACATGTGCACCAACCAAAAGATCATCTCAAGTTGAGATATCGCAGAATTTGTCTTGACCTAGACACAAGATCCTGGTCTAGGTGTAGTATATCACAGTTTCCATCATGTCAAATAGACATCAGTCCAGACAACTTCTTATAGAGCTTCAGTGAATCCTCAGAAAGCACCTCCCATATCCAATTCTAACACAATATAAATCTAAGGGTAGTGTCATAGCACTCCCTTGGTCTAGTTGGGTCTGTATACCTTGTTGTTTTCTTTCTTTATCATAACAGGACTGAAACTAAAAAGAAAGAATCTGCCTTAGGCTCCCCCTCTACCTAGATTAGGATAGAGTAGGTTATACAATGTATCATTGCTGGCCAAAAAAAAAAAATCCAATTCTAACACCAATATATAGGTTACAAAAACCCCAAGAAGCCCATAACTAAGTGAAAATTTGTCTGGCAGACAGCTCTAGAAGACCCAAGTCCAGAATAGCCACACAAAATATGTCCAGCACTCTAAATAGACAAACGTATGCACATGGGAGATTGTCAGATACAAAAGAAGGTAAACTAAATCACAACTCAAGTGAAATTAGCATGACGTTTTGATTGGTGCTTTCTTCACAGTCAATTCACTTCAAATCCCATGTCAGGCCCCTTTAACAATCAAGCTCTTCCAACTTGAATGAAAGAGGCAAGAAATGCAAATGAGTACAGGAAATTTAAAAGGAAATGACAAACTTTATCTTCCTAGATTCTAACCATTAGCTATTCTCATTAAGCAGTGGCATGTTTTGAAACTACTCTACTAAAAGATGTCGATTTACATCAATAGCGTCCTCAAATAACCAGTTAAATTCAAATGGAACTCAGCCCAACAAATATAGACTTAAACATGCAGGTTATTTAAGCAAGAAACATAGGGTGTAGTAATTATTAAGCAAGAAAATCAGGGAAAATTAATCCCCTGAAATGTAGAATCAAGAAAACCGGAAGGAAGAATTCAACGAAACGAAGGAGTAGTTAAGTTACCGGTTGGCGTGGAGGAGGGCTGCAGGGCCGAGATAGGACTCAGGGTTCCACCAGTAACTGGGGCAGGAAGTGCTACAGCAGGCACACAGAATGCATTCATACATTCCATCCAGCTTAGCCCTATCGCTCTTGGACTGTGGTATCTCCTTCCCGGGGGTGGGCGAGGAGCTCTTCCTCTTCAGCCACGGCTCAATGGACTTGTACTGATTATAGAAGTTGGTCATGTCCACCACCAAATCCTTAATCACAAACATATGGGGAAGCGGCGTAATGGTGGTGGCGGACGACCCATCAGAATCAATCTTAGTCAAGCAAGCCAAGCCATTGCAGCCGTCGATGTTCATGGCGCAGGACCCACAGATCCCTTCCCGGCAAGACCTGCGGAAGGTCAGGGATGGGTCGATCTCGTTCTTGATCTTAATCAGGGCGTCCAACACCATGGGCCCACATTCCTTCAGGTCGATGTGGTAATCTTTGAGCTCCGGCTTTTGGGGGTTGTCCGGGTTCCATCGGTAGATTTGGAAGGTCTTCAGGCTGTGAGTCTTCTTGGCCTGAGGTTCAGCTTGCTGGGCTTCGGCCTCCGATGCGTGGGCCCGGGTTATCACCAGTTTCGCCGCCGGAGCCGACGACTTAACCCTAGCTATTGCTCGTCGGACCAATCCAGTCGCCATTGGAGCTGCTGATTCAGATGTTGCGGAGCAACAATCATCACACCATCATATATCAATTTGTATACTATGATGTGGCTGTTTAAGAGCCACAGTGTTCACGGTTTGGGTCGTGGACCGGATTCACCCAAGTTTTTTCCAAAGAACCGTTAGTCATTAAAATAAGGGATAATTTCAGAAACCTCCCTAAGGTTTCTAATAATTTCACTAGCCTCCCCTGAAGTTTATAAAATTATACAAACATCCCTGAGGTTAAAGTTTTGATAACAAAATTAATCGAATTAAAAAAAGTAACATTAAAAAGTACTTTAACGAGGGAGATGAAACTTTCATTTCATAAAGACCACTAACACATGTACATAAGTTATATAAGTAAAAGAATAAAAATAATTAAAAATAATTAAAAATTAAAAATAATTAATACATACATTTCATTATTCAAAAAGTTCACATTTAATAAATTAAGCAATACAAAATAAGTAACAGAATTGCACTAATGATTACAAGATTCAACAAAACAAACTAGTCATCTCTTTTGACATAATATTTGTTATGATTCTTGTATTTTTGAAGAAACAAATTTTTAAATTTTGCCTTTCTTTTCCCTCCTCCTTTACTAATATCTAATGATTAAATAATTAGAGTACTAATTAACTATTGGTAACTAATTAATGAAAATAATTGTTAAAAATTTCTTTAATGATGAACGACGACTTGTATTTATAAAATAACATCAATTGATATACCTAATAAAATCATAAAAATCATAACAAATATCATGCTAAAAGAGATGACTAATCTGTTTTACTAAATTTTGTGATCATTAGTGTAGTTATGTTACTTATTTGTGTTATCTGTAAAATACAACTTATATACAAATATAAGCGGTATTTATGGAATCAAACATCTTTTTCCTTAAAATAATTTTTTAATGTTACTTTTTCTTTTTGAACTAATTTTGTTATCAAAATCTTAATTTTAGGAGAGGTTTGTGTAATTTTACAAATTTTAGAGAAGACTAATGAAATTGTGAGAAATCTCAAGGGAGGATTCTGAAATTATCCCTTACAATAATTAATGCTTAAGAGAGGAATACATGAATAGACTAATATTCAAGCACTAACTATTTGTTCGAACTAAATGAATGCCAAATCATTTGACATACATCCTATCCAAAATTAGGACTGTCAATGGCGCTGGGCCAGCCCGAGTTCGATTCGTTCGATCCGATAAAAAGCCCAATGAACCCGACATTTTAGTGAGTCAGTCTGAGTTTGAATCTAAAAATTAAGCTCGAATTAAATATGAGTCGAGGTTGGGTTCTATTAGGCTCAAATCCAATATAGACCCGGCCCTTTAATTATATATATAATATTTATATTTTGATATTATGTATAATTATATATCTAAATATATTATTATTAAATACTAAATATATATATATTATAAAATATAAAAATACATCTAAAGACTCTTCCATAAGCTTTCTTGAGAGCCAATAATGCATAACTGAATCTCTAACTTTTCTTATTGGTTGAATAAATTTTTGTGTTAGCATAATATTGGTTGATTTATTTTTTATTTACAAACACAAATCATCAAGCATTTTTGGATTCAAATCACAAAATTATAAAAAAGTGTCAACTTTTAAAGATGTATTGGCTTATAATCGCATGTTTTATTACTATTTTTCATGCATTTTGAACGAATTAAATATAAATATTATTGAAAAAGTTTTGATTTATATACTTTTTAAGAACTATTATTTGTTCATGTTTAGTTTTAATATTATAATCTTGTAAATGTTAAATTAGTTTTATAACTTAATAGTTATAGTAATTATATTAAGAAAATTAAGGAGTAATAAGTGAGTTTGGGTTAAATCCAATTAAGACTCACAATCCGAATATTATGTGAGATGAGTATGAGCTTTATATTTATGAATTTGAATCTCATAGTTCGAAATCAAAAAATGTTTTAAATTAAATGAGTTGAACTTGACCTTATAAAAATCCGGCTCATTAGGTCCGATTGACAGCCTTACTTATATACACTTTCCCTCCAAAATCCAACATCTTCCTTAAGTCCCAAGTTAACGGTCTCCTCCCCCTTCCCGGCAATTTTCAACAGATGTCCCAAAAATTTCCTTCCTCCATCCAACCTACCAACTTCGACTTAATTGTGATCGGTTCCGGCCTCGAAGAAACCATACTCGCCTGCGCGGCATCCCTCGGCGGCAAAACCGTCCTCATTGTCGACCATAACCCTTTCTTCGGTGGCCACTTCGCCTCTCTCCCTCTGCAAGACTTCACTGATTTTCTCCACACCCACTCAAAATCATGCCCGCAACCCGAACTCAAACCCGGATCCTCCTCCGGCGAATTCAACGTCCTTCCTCTGACCACTCGCCCCATGTACTCCTCTGTCGAAATTAGCGTATATTCCCCAGAAATTATTGACAATTATGGACTATTCAGCGTTGATTTAGCGGGGCATAGGGTTTTATTCTGTGCTGATCCTATGATGGAATTGATTTTGAAAACTGATAGGGTTTTAAATGTGGATATAGACGAGTTCATTAGGTTCAATTGCCTGGAATGGATGCGAGCTTCATATGTAGGACTGATGAAGATGGCGGTAAAATTTGTGGAATGTTGTGCCTTATTCGCGGAGCGCCATATTTATAGATAAAAGCTTGACTTTTGCAGAGAAGAATCAGCTGATGAGGTTCTACAAGCTGGTTTAGGGGCATTTTGGACATGGGAATGACGAAGAAGATAGGAAAATTCCAGAGGAGAACTTAGAGAGTCCGTTTTCGGAGCTAAAATCGTACAAACTGATACCCATTTAGCCCTTGCTCTTTTCTTTATAGATTATGATCAAGAATAACAAAATGATTAGGTTTTTCAAAGCTAAAACTTCTACTCTGTAGCTCCTGTTTTGCTCAGTTAGTTCAGAATTTCATATCTCTATAATCACTGTTGTTGTAGTTATTTAACTTTTGATTTTACCTGCATTCAGCATTTTTTTGACTTAAGTTTCTTTCACCTGTTTAGGATTATTCTGCACGCAATTGCCATGGCAGATTATGACCAAGACAATGTGGAAGACTGTAAATACATTCTTAAAACAAAAGATGGAATAGATCGCTTAATGCTTTGTCATTCATCAGTTGCCAGGGTATTTTTTACCTCGTTTCTTGCATGTTTTTACTGTTGTACATACATGATGCATGTCCATATTAGAACAGATCCATTCCCCTGTTTAATATACATTTGATAAATTGATTCCTCAGTAAAATGCAGTTCTTTTCATATCCAATTAATCTACACGCAAGCAGAATTTGTTTGAGATTAATTTGTCTATCAATTTGGCACTGTTACCTGTTGGTAATTGGCTTCTGTCTTGAAGCAAAATTGTCATTTATTGTTCTTTTCTTGGCAATAGATACGAAAGCCCTATGTTTTAGTACTTTTATTTCATATTTTCCTTTTCCAATTTTGAAAGTTGATACTTAAGGTATGTCATAGTACTATCAACGTTTGTAAAGGTTTCCTAATGCACCTGGTGGCATGATATATCCACCTTGCTGGCAAGGCGTAATTCCACTTCTAGCCTTTTTCTGTCGTGCTCATGCTGCTGACAAGGATTGTCTTGATGTAAGTGCTAAAACTTACGCTAAGTATTTCATCTAGACAACTCTAGTTGATGATTTGTGCTACATTTTTATTTGTGGTGGATTTTTACGGTTACCAGTTAGCTTAAGTTTTTTGGTTTGGGCTATGGTCTACCCCATGTACAAGGGAAAAGGGAAGATAACTAGGCAAAGACAAACATCACTGTAGGAGAAGAAAGATCATCTACTCCCATTATTTCTTGTTTGTTCTGTTTTCTTAATCCAATTTGCTGATCGGCAGAATTTCTATGAGTCATCTAGATGATTGCTTGTTATTTTGTTGAACCCTTATGCTTATCTTATGTTTGCAATTGTTCAAACAGGGTCAAGGGATGTCTGTGGTTGGTCTACTTACAGACAAAGTTTGACCAAGTTTCTTGTTTTTGTTGTATTTTATTTTTCTCTTCTGGATTTTGCAGTAAACATATCTGGTTATAAGAACTACAGGAGCTTATATCTGTCATTTTGCATATATTTTAGGTTGTTGGGGATTATAAGGGTGTTAAGTTGGATTGTGGTCAAGAATTATTCAGCCACCAGCTCATCCTTGCTCCTTCGTTTAATCTTCCCTCAGGATTAGCTGCTCCTCCAACACATTTTCAGCGGAATGGTAATCATGATTCTAGGCCGCAGGATGCCAAAGACAAGGTAGTTAGGGGAGTATGCATCACAGCAAGTTCCTTAAAACCAGATATAGCAAATTGTCTGCTGCTATACCCCCCTCAAGGTCTGCCCTGCATTCAATCTTTTTTTTTTTTCCTTTAATGTGTCTTTGGTTTTGTATGGTAGTTATGAACAAACTTTCTGTGTCTAGCTTTGTTCCCGGAGCGGCTGACATCAATCCGAGTCCTCCATTTGAGCAGTGATATGAATGTTTGTCCTTCTGGCATGTAAGCTATCGTGCATTAGTTTGTTGATTTTATGAAGGGGGAAAATGAAAAGCCCAATCACAGTGTCCATTAAGAAAGGAAAGAAAGAGAGAAATGACATGCAATTAAGATTTTCTACAACTCATGTTCTAAGACACATTGAATAGGTGCCAAAATATGGTTTAGGCTGTCGGGTAAAGATTCCCAATGACAAATTTTGTCTCATCAGCTTTTTGAATCTTGAAAGATGGTTTAACTAGGTTTCCGCTCTTTGGAGTCAAATTTGATCTCGTTTTGTTGCTCCCATGCTACAGGTTTGTCGATTATGTATCAACAATTTGTGAAGATGCAGCTCAAGGGAAAGAATTACTAACTACAACCATAAATGATTTGTTTTCTGTTCCTGTTTCTGGAAACTCTGAGGAAGATTCTGAGGATCATCAGAGTGCGAATACAGTAGTGAAAGTAAAACCCACTTTGCATTGGAGTACTGTGTATATACAAGAGCAAACTGTGGTTTGTCTCTTACTGTTTTCCTTCTTTTGCTTTTTGAATCATCGCATCTTTACTTTGGCAACTAATTACTCTATTCATTTGTTTCTCACAATTTTTCCCCTTTGTTTCCAGGTCTTTTATGTTTTCCTGGTCTGATATATTCACTGACTTCTCCAGCTGATCGCCCTTATTTCTGTGTGGTTTTTAGGGTGTATTTGATGGTGTTATTTCAGCCTCTATGCCTGACGGAAATTTGCAACACAACAATTTTGTAGATGCATCAGAAAAGGTAGATGATATTTTGGTTAGTTTAACGAAAATTGTCTTGGTATTATTCGCCAATCTCGACACCTTTTCTGTTGCATGTTAAGACTGTCACTGAGATAGGGACTTTTGTACTTTTCATGGCAGCTATTTCAGAGCATGTATCCTGATGAAGGATTCTTTCAAAGGAAACCTCATCGAATGAGGTCATAGAAGATGGTGCCTCCGAGCGCAAGTGTTGTGATTTTTGCTTGAGCGAGGATTCGGAGAAAACAGCAAATATAAAACACTGGGGATCTAACCAATTCTATAATACATCAAAAGCTAAATGTTGTGTGAGTTGAGGAAATCAGTTGAATTTTTTCGCTTTTGCTGCAGCGCGGTTGAACAGCTTGCTTCGAATAGGTACAACATAACTGCTTCACTACAAATGAAAGCAGCAACAAAGCTCAAATTGAATCAAGTTCCAGTTATTCAATTTTGAGAAGTATTTCACAGGGTCTATAAAGGAAGTTTACGGCCCTTACTCCTAACTGGAATGCTTCCTTCTTAAGAATCGCCATAGAAAAATCTCCACTAAAAGGAAACTAGTTACTAGATGCAAGATTGCCGATGGTATGAGAGTAAAATATTCTGTATCCGAAGTGTGGATACACACTATTCTCCTCGGAAAATGTTCTTAGATGTAAAAGAATGTAGTATATTTTTGGATGAAATGAAGTTAAAGGGTGTGGCAGAGTAGAAGCAAAATGAAACAATGTTTTTAGACATTGTGAAAGGGAATTTTACCATTTGGATTGCAAATTTATCTCAAATAATATTTTACTTGCATTATAAATATATTTTTCAATTCATATTTTTATATTCCCAACTATTTTTTATCTCACATACATCAAATCACAAAAAAATGCTACAGTAATTATTTCAAATAATACTCTATCCAAACACACTAATGAATTTATGAACTTAAAAACAGAGAGAGTTACAAACCCGAATAATATTGCAATGCCAGAAATACCCTTTTGTCAAACCAAAAAAAAAAAAGACATGCCAGGATTGGTTTTTGGTAATTGGGGAAAATTCTAAGGGTAAATTTTTTTAAAAACCTTTTACTTAACAAAGGCAGAATTAGAGCAACTAAACATACGATATAATTTTGTGTCAATAAAAAAAAAAGAAACTAAATGATATAATTATATTGGAGTAGGAAGTAGGAACAGAACAAAATAGTTTCTAGATTTGGAAGCATGGATAAAAGAAATATATGATATGCGGTATGCCGTATCCAAGAAAAGAAAAATTGATTCACAAGTAAAAAAAAAAAACAAAAGAGAAAAAGAAATGCGAGGGAATAAAGTCATAAAGTCTGGTGCTTCGTTGGGTTGGTGATAAAAATTTTTCCCTCCGTTGTCATGGACGAAGCGATGTCGTATCCTCCGACAGAACCCGCCAACTTCGATCTAATCGTCATCGGCACAGGCCTCCCGGAATCCATCCTTGCCGCCGCTGCGTCCATCTCCGGCAAAACCGTCCTCACCTCGACCCCAACCCTTACTACGGCAGCCACTTCGCCTCTCTACATCTCCACGACTTCACCGAACTCCTCCAGACCCACTCCCTACCCTCCGCTCCCCAAGCCCAACCCAGCTTCCTCCGGCGAATTCAACGTTCTTCCCCTCACCACTCGCCCTGTCTACTCCTCCGTCGAAACTAGCCTATTTTCCCCCGAAATTCTCCAGAAGGCAAACCAATTCAACCTCGATTTAGCAGGGCCTAGGGTCTTGTTCTGTGCCGATAAGATGATCGATTTGATTTTGAAAACGGAGATTAATCACTACATGGAGTTCAAGAGTGTAGATGCTAGCTTTATTTGTGAGGGTGAGGAGGAGAATTTGCGGAATGTACCAGATTCGCGAAGTGCCATATTCGAGGATTAGAGCTTGAGCTTTACAGAGAAGAATCAGTTGATGAGGTTCTTCAAGCTTGTTCAGGATCATTTTGGTGATGGGAGTGACGAGGAAAGCAAGAAAATTTCCGAGGAAGATTTAAAGAGTCCATTTATGGAGTTTTTGAGCCGGAAGATTGGGTTGTCGCAGAAGCTAATATCGTACTGATCCGATTCGCCTTTTGCTCTTGCACTTGCTCTTTCTCTCTGTTAGTGAGAGCGCTTTGTTTATTTACACTTCCATTTTGCAATTCATTATGCTTACGAAATATTAGGCTAGTTACGAATCCAACTTGAATTTTAATTTGCATTTCTTACATCCTAGAATTTTGTCCTTTTCTTTTTGTTGCTGTTTTGGTACTAATTCTGATCCGGAAAGGATTTAACTCAAAGACTTTTAATTGTCTGATTCACGTTCCTACAAATGTTTTTGGGGCTCAAAGGTCGCAATATTGGTTGGAATTACATTCTTGGTCGTGTTCTCCATCGCCACTGATGTAAAAATCGCTTCAAGCAAACAATGAAAGGAAAAAAGAAACATGGATCATCTGGCAATGACAAATTACAAATGTGATCTCTGTAGCTGGTACCACTCCAAGTAGGCAAACAATCTATGTGATGTAGTCAAAGTGGAAGTATTGGGCCCCGATTAGTAAAGCATTGAGTGATGCGCCTCCAGATGCCTATGAAGCTCTGTCGGATGCGCCTCCATCCTCGGTGAAATGTTCCAAGTTCCTGATGAAATCTTTGATAAACCCAATACAGCATTTCAGCTGCCAGCCTCATGAAGAAAAATGCAAATATAAGAGGCCTAACCGATTGAGGGAACAGGAATGATGCCATGGAAGCTAAACAAAAGCAACCAGTGAGCGACATGCTTAAGCGAACAACATTTCTGAAACGCATGGAATAGCGAGGATGGGATGAAAGTCTGACTTCAGTGCTGTATGCTAAGCCATATAGCAGCAAACTAGTAATGGCAAGCGCGGAAATTATGGGGTGCGATTCAAATGGATTTATTGAGCCGTCCCGTTGATGTTTTAGCTGCAGAAGTGTAAGGATAGGCGTCATAGTGGATGCGAAGATGTCATTAGGGAAAATGGCTGCGGGGAGCTCGAATTCAGAGAAATGGTCGGAAATGTTGCGCAAGGCAGCCATAAAGTTTTCGGAGAGGCTTGTGAACAGTTGCCGGTAGTAAGTTCCGGTGTTTTGATCGGCCATTGGGTTACGAAGACTTGAAAAAAACGAACCCATTGAGTGAATTTGATGAAAAAGACGGAGCAATCTTGGAAAGGGGAGGCAAAAGAAAAGCAAGAGAATGCACCTAGTTTAGTTCCGCACCACCTGCTGAATATATATAGGGGTCGTACTCGTACTACTTTCTTTGGGCTGGCTTTGATTAATTTTTCATCGTTGAACTGTTTAAACTATGTGACCTGACCACCCGATGCCGTGTAATCAGAGAGTTTGTGAAATCATTCGAGGAGCCGCAGCTTACCAGTTACCACCTCCGTTGGTCAGAAGATCCCTTTGGCCCTTCTCTCGTTGACACACTCCTGACTGAGTGTGAGCATCGACATTTGAATTTTCATAGATGGCCCTTTGTTCTGTTCTTTCCTGCGAGGAGCAAAAGACGAAAGATATAACTAAAGACGAAAGATATAACTTCGGTTGTTTACTTGCTTGACTTTCGCCACATCATACACTACTGTTAATAATAAAAGATTGTGTGTGTATTCATTCTTTTCGGTCAATTCTTCCGGAATTCCACCAACCCGGTGAGCTTATGATACAGACGTCAATTTATTATTATGATTATTTACTTTTCCATCCCTTCTCGTACCTTTCTCACATCCCATCCAATTTGTTGGTTATAGGATTTGAATACTAAACCGAACAGTGGAAAAGAAAAAAAAAAAAGGCTTACACATGATCAGTAGTGATGTGTGCATGAAGAAAAATTAGGAAGAGTATATAATAGCGTATTGGCGTGTCGTCCTGATATTTAACTATATATATATATATATATATATTTGGGATGACCCTCTTTTTTTTTTTTTTTTTTTATCGACACAGGGGTGTCTGGATCAATTCTTACGGGATCCGACTAATCCCCTGCGGCCCGGGTCCGGCGCTCCAACCCGACCCGAACGCGATAAGTATGCAGAGGAATCCAGCAGAGCGGAGACTCGAACTTGGAACCTCAAGGATCATCGGTGAGAGACGCGCTATCGCTGGACCATTCACGCGAAAGCATATATTTGAGATAACCTGAAAATTGAAATGTATATTAGATGCCTGAACCCGCCCAGCGTCGATTTCACGAATTTCTCATAAATAGTCTTCCTTGGACCCACCTAGCGGAAGAGACGTCGTTTGTCGTCCAATGGAAATCTTCGGTACTATTTGATTATGGATGGGAGGGGGGAACTGGGAAGTCTTCCTCGTCGCAGTCTGGACATCATTCTAGACATCTTTCTACCAAAGAGTTTGCAAAGGTTCAGGCAGTCCACGAGGTCCCTTTAACTTTAAGACGGGTTTGCCAGTGCCTAAATTTTAAACAGAACAAGTCCAAATTCACTTGCTTTCCCAAACGTCCTTTTCCTTTCTCAAGTCCATATCCGATACCTAAAAGTCTATGCGAGAAGCACAAACAACTTAACGCAAATGGCTTCCTCCGCTCAATTCGTCGCGTAGACAGTGTAGAAGGTGGCTTAAAAAAAAAACGATCTAAACGTAAAAAAAAAATTATAGATTGTGCGAAGTGGTAAGGGTGGAAAAAATTGTAATTAAGAAGTATTGGATTCAAGATTCAAGGCCTCTCACTTATTTATATATATATATATATATATATATATATATATATATATATAAAGTTAATATTCTCGTCAAGAACTACTTTTCTAGTAGTATGATGATATGCACAAAGTAATTAAATTAGCATAATTGCAAATAGAATGAAAGTTGTGCTATCTCCTTGGATAAAATAAGGTTAGAGAGAAAGGTTGCATCAATATTTTTTCCTAGTAAAAATCAGAATTCACGAGATAGAACATAATACTTTTTCCAATTTCTCTACTAGAGTGCTTGTTTTACGTTGATTATTTTACTTGATTATATATTTTGATATTGGAACGCTTGTTCTTAATCAATTATTTCACCAAAAAATATATTTTGATATTGGATAATTAGTTTTTTCCCCCCTGATGTTCTTTTTTATTTAGATTTTTTTTGTAAATAGATTTCAGATTTTTTAAAAGTCAAAAAATCTAAAATTCATAATTTACTAAAAAGGTTTTTTTTTGTAAATAGGTTTTGACTAATTCTAATTAGTTTTTGTAAAATCTTAACCAAACAAAACATGCCCTAAGATTCGTAATCCAATAATATCACATGTAGTCGTGTATAACCAGTCCTAACTTATAACCAAAATACGGTAAAACCTCTATAAACTAATAATTTTAGACCATACAAATTCTACTAATTTAATGATGTATTAATTAATCAATAAATTAATAATTTATTAATGAGGCATTAATTAATTGGTAAATTGATAATTTATTAATTTATCGAGTTTACTTATAATTTTGAAAACACTCATTTAAGCAACTAAAGTTTTATTTTATTTTATAAAAATATGAATTATTCTATTAATAAAAGGAGGCTAAAAATTTAAAGGATGTAAACCAATCAATATTAATTTGATTTGCAAGTATAATTTAATTCTATT